CCTTTTTTTTTCCCGGGGTTCCTTCCCTTTTCCAATTCCCCCTTCATCGGGCCCATTTTAAATTAAAATCATTTTTTCACCTTTTTTTTGGTCCCCCTTCCCCCTTAAATAAATTTTCCTTCCCCTCCTTTCCCCCTTTTCCCTTTTCTTTCCCTTCCCAAAACTTCTTTATTCTACCCCCCTCACATAAAGTTTTTCCTTCCCTTTTTTCCAACCCCCCTTTTTTCCCCCTTTCCCTTTCGCCCCCCCCTTCCCCCTTTTCATTCCCTTTTTTCCTTTCCCCCCCACTCCCCTTTCCCCTTCTCTTTTTTTTTCCCTTTTTCTTCTCCCCCCCTTCCCCCTTTCCCCTTTCCCTTTCCCAAAATTTGCCCTTCCCCATCGGGTCCCTCCTTTCCCCCCCCTTCATTTCCCCTTCCCCTTTTTTCCCCCGTCTTTTTTTTCCCTTTTTTCTTTTGGGGTTCCTTCCTTTTATCACATTTCCTTCCCAGCCCCCAAAAACTTCACATTGTTTTTCCCCTTCCTTCTGTTTCCTTCCCCTCCTTCTCTTCCCTTTCCCCCCTTTCATTTTTTTCAAGTCCTTCCCTTTTTTCCCACAGTTCCTTCCCCTTTAAAATCAGTTCCTTTCCCTTTTCATCCCGGGCCCCCCCCTTTCCCTTCCCCCTTTTTTCCAAATTTCTCCCTTCCCCCCCCAAATCGGGGTTTCCCTCCACTTCCCCTTCATCGGGTTCCCCTTTCCCCTTTTTTCCCCAAATCGGGGTCTCCTTCCCTTTTACCCCCTTTTTTCCTTCCCCTAAAGGGAACCCCTTCCCCCCCTTTTCCCCTTTAAAAAATCCCCTTCCCCCCCCCTTTTCCAGGGGTTTTCCTTTTTCCTTCACAGCCCCCCTTTTCCCCCCCCTTTAAATTCCTTCCCTTCCCTTCAAAAAACCCCCCCCTTCCCTTAAACCCGGGTCCCCCCTTTTTTTTTCTCAGTGTTTCCCCCTTAAATAAGTTCTCCCTTTCCCTCCACCCCGGGGCCAAAAACCCCCCCCCTTCAACCCGGCCTTCCCTTCACCAGTTTTCCTTCCCTTTAACCCCCAGTTTCCTTCCCTTATAAGTCCCTTCCCTTCTTTGAAAACCCCCCTTCCCTTCATCCCTGCCCACCCCCCCTTTCCCCACCCCCTTTTTTTCCCCCTTCCCTTCATTATTCTCCCTTCCCCCCTTTTCCGTGTCCCTTTCCTTAAACCCCCTCCTTCCCTTCATCAGCCCTCTTCCCCCCCCCCCAATTCAGCCCTCCTTCCCTTCATCAGCCCCTCCTTCCCTTATCATCCCCTTTTTCCCCCTTCATCGGGTTTTTTTTTTTTGTTCCCCCTTCACCCCGGGGTCCCCCTTCCCTTCTTTCCGGTCCCCCTTTTCCCTTTCCCAATCCCCCCTTTTTCCCCCCCATTAGCCCTCCCCCCTTTTATCAGTGCCCCTTTTCCTTCACCACCCTCCTTCCCCCCATTAATCCCTTTCCCCCTTCATCAGTGCCCTTTCCCCCCTTCCCAATCACCCGTTCCTTCCCTTCACAGTGCCCTTTTTTCCCTTTTTCCGTCTCCTTCCCCCCATAAAGTCCCCTTTTCCCTTATCAGTGCCCTTTTCCCTTCATCAGGTTTCCCTTCCCTTTTCATCAGTCCCCTTTCCCCTTTCACAGTCCCCCTTCCCCCCCATCAGCCCTTCCTTCCCTCCATCAGTCTCCTTCCCTTCTTCATTTGCCCCTTCCCCTTCATCAGCCCCCTTTCCCCCTCACCCAGGTCCTTCCCCTTCATCAGTCCCCTTTCCCCTTTTCATCAGTCTCCTTCCCTTCATTAGTCTCCTTCCCTTTATCAGTGTCCTTCCCTCCACCAGCCTCCTTCCTTCATCAGTCTCCTTCCCTTCATCAGTCTCCTTCCCTTCATCAGTCTCCTTCCCTTCATCAGTCTCCTTCCCTTCATCAGTCTCCTTCCCTTCATCAGTCTCCTTCCCTCCATCAGTCTCCTTCCCTTCATCAGTGTCCTTCCCTTCATCAGCCTCCTTCCCTTCATCAGCGTCCTTCCCTTCATCAGTCTCCTTCCCTTCATTAGTCTCCTTCCCTTCATGGCTCCTCCATCCCCCCATGTTTCCATCCTCTCCTCTCCCATGAATCCAGTCTTCGTGCCTGTCTTTCTCCAAATCTTTTTATCCATGCAGCATTGACTCACACCCTCGCTCCGGCAGGAGGAGGACACATTAGCCGCTGTATGAACCGCCTGGGCTCTGCCAGGATCAGGGGCCTGCATGGAGCTGATAACACATTCTGTCTCAGGAGGCCTCAGTCAGTCCTCTCTCCTTTCAGGGTGCAGCAGCTCGATCGATGAGCCTGAAATATAATTCTGTCAGAGCAGACGCCGGCTGAAAGGCAGGGTCAGTGATGGGATGATGGCGACGCCATCAAAGATCTAAACCTCCATAAAATAATCAAAATCAGGGATAAGCCTGAGAAACCTTTCCTCTAGCTGCTGTCAGACAAATCAGACCAGAAGGTGAAGGCCTGGCAGCTCCCTCTACAGGCTGAGGCGTTTACTGCAGTTTGTCTAACACCCTGATGCCTTCACCATCACACCTGTGCACCTGTTCAGCCTTTCCTCTGTACGACGGACTATTAAGGCCAGGCTAGAGATTTAGTCTGTGCTATTTTGAGAATAAAGTCCTAAATTTACGAAAAATAACGTCAAAACATGAAGAGAATAAAGTCAATTAAATTCAGTTTATTTCTATACAGACCAGATGAAGCTACTATGAGAAAAAGCAGAGAGAGCAGAACGTTAGAGATTGAACTAACAGATTCTGCAGAGTGGGAGAATAGAGATAGAATGAAGCAGAATGATGAAAAAGGGGTCCCTATGTCCTCCAGCAGTCTAAGCCTATAGCAGCGTAACTATCAGGATTGTTACCTTGTCAGGCTGATCTGCAAATGTAGCAGAAGTTGTTTAAATGTCCCTTTGTGCATGCGTGTGCATGCGTATTACTATGGGTATGCTGGTCTGATGGGGTATGCTGACCTGATAGAACATCTGCAGCATGTGAGGACACAGTGCTGGTCTGTAGAAATAGGGCGCCATAGGCCAGTGTGCCGGCACCCTGACCTTTTATCCTCTATACTGCAGTCTTCCCCTTCTGCTCCACATGCTGCCATCTTTAAAGGTTCTCAGATTACTGTCTTATGGTCGGACTTTATCGCAGGTGATGATGAGGATGAACCAAGCATGAACCATCACAGAACCTGAAGGACCCTAAAAGGAATGACTGCTGCACCCCAGGTGCAATAAGAAGCATTATCGCAAATCCTGCCTTCCAACTTCAATTAACTTTATATCATTGCTGCTTTCATCAATTCCAATAAATGTTTTTTAAACTATTTGGATTTCTTGTGCAAAGGAGTTTTTGTACATCAATACTTTCATTGCACTTCACTCTCAGGTGGGATTTAGAATAGCTGGCAATGAAATACAGACCAAACAATACCAGAGGTATTATTTAATTAACACTGTAAATTAGCTAATGTTTTGTTATAATCATGACACATATATATATATATATATATATACTCTTTACCAGTGATATACCTACAATGACTAGTCTATTACACTATATTCTATTCTATCTGAAGTGAATGATAAAGAACAGAGTTATTTCAACAGTTGCCAGTTGCTGGTGATGATCCTCAGTCATCCAGGCCATTGCAAAAAAGTTAAAAACAATCTACTGGATTTTGTTTCCAAGTTTGAAGACAGTTCGCTTCACATCCAGGAAGATTTTTCAATTTAAAAAACAAAATTATTAAAAAAGCTTCCTGGATGGGAAGTGAAACATCTTCAAACCTGGAATCAAAGTCCACATGATTGATTTCTAACTTTTTTGTGTTTCAACAGTTGGAAAAGTCCTCAGTGGTGAAGTTCAGTAGATCTATGTGGAGGTTCTGTTGAGTTTGATGCAGTCAGACCAGAATATAAAGAAGTTAAGGGGGTTTAGGTTGTATATCCGAGTGAGACCTCTATTTATTTAAACCCATCTCTGCTTCTTCCAACTGGTGAGCCGAAGGAGCAGAGATTCTTTCTGTTGTCAGTGTCTCCCTCTGCTGGTGGTGAGGAGAAACAGCACCAAACAGAGTGGATTTCCCCAAATGGTCTCATTTTTTATAAATCCATCTTCCCTTGCCTGTTTCTGATGCTGTTAATATCATCCTGCTGTTGGGTAAATATCACATCCACTGTGCTAAATGGAGAAATGCTAAATCCTCTTTTCATTTGTTTATCAATGACTTTAAAACCTTTTTTTCATCTCTTAAAAAGAGATAAGAAAAAGACAAATATGCAAAAAAAAAAAAAAAAAAATGATGCTATTCTGATTACATCCACCATTTTTACATTTCTATGTTAGATTTCAATGTTTCTGCACATAAATCCCCTGCTATTTGTAATACTTTGTACTTTTCAATTGTAATTAATCTTCATTTTTGCGATCCTCTCTGAAAGTCTTTTTCGTGTTATTGGATTAATAAAAAGTGAATAAATAAATAAATAAATAAATAAATAAATAAATAAATAAATAAATAAAAAAGGTAATTGGCAAAGTTATGGAAGAGGATTAGGACCACTGAATAAAAATTTAAAAAAGTTGACAGATTTTTTAATTTTATTTTAGTACAATATGAGAAAAAAGTCAGAATTCTGAATTTTTCCCCATATCAAAATGAAATAATATTAAAAAATCTGTTCACTTTTTTAATTTTTTCAGTGGCCCTAATCCTCTTCCGTACAAACTTGATCAACTTTGCACCGAATTTAAATATGAGCAGCTTTAAAAACATTCAGCTGTTTTTAAAAAGTCTAAAAATGAATAATAATAATCTAATATAAATTTAAAATTGAATTAGAATCAAAAATGATTTTAACTGGAAATAAAACTTGATGTTTACTGTGAGAAATGATGTGACTCCTCCCACCGTGTCGGGCTGTCCAATCAGCGCTCAGGATGAGCTGGCAATAACCCACCCGGAAGAGCTTCTCCTAGCATGCTAAGCTAACGCTAAAGGCTAGCAGCACAGTCAGCGGAGGTGTTCAGCTCTTTGGTTCGTGGTTTTCTGCTCTGGTTCCGGTTCTGTGCTGAAAGGTGAGTCCAAACCGCTGAAAACCAAACGAACCAGTGTTCCTCTTTTATCTGTCCTTCAGGCTATTCGATGTTTTGATGATGTTTAAGAATCCAGCGATTAGACGGAGCCTGAAGTTGTTGGTGTGAGAATGACAGGATTAGACTTTTTATTTAGCGGGAAATACACGGAGCCAAACAACGATCTGGATCTGGACTCAGGGCGGCTCTGAAGTTCTTGAAGGCCTCGTTCAGTCCGGGGGTTTTATTTTAGGGAGGTTGGTTCTGGAGAGAAGCAGTCCTGGGCATAACCTGCCACACCTCCTCCCCCCCAGTCTCAGATTAGCAGAACAGCAGCCCAGCTGTCTGAGATTATTAGATTACTGATTCCTCAGAAGTAGAGAAAATATTTCCACATCGCTGCTCATTTTCTCCTGCTTGGATCCTCTGGTACCGCCTAGAACCGGTTTGATCTTCATTCATGTGGGTTAAATGTTGAGGATTGATTAATTTTATTGATCTGACAGTGGAGAAATATAGGGGGGGGGGTGTACAGAACCTCCTGATTTTGCCTTTTTGTCCCTGAAATGTCTTAAAACATCTAAAAACTGTTGGAGAACAAGCTGCTGAAGATTCTCAGTCATCCAGGTCACTGTCATTCCGAAAGCGTTATAAAACAATCCTCTGGACTTTGTTTCCCAGTTTGAAGACGTTTCTCTTCCATCCAGGAAGATTTTTCAGTTAAAAATGTCAGAAATAGCGTTTAGTTCCAGGTTTTATCCAGCAGCCCAACAAAGCCTGGTTTTGGTTTAGAAAACATGCAAATTGAAATGGGTCCACCCCTTTACAGGGGAACAGAAGACCCCGACTATTCAGCCAGGCCAACAATCCCCTTTAACAACCCCCCCCATTCCAAAGGCGTGGACCCATTCATCCGGCTCAATTTGCATGTTTTCTAAAAAAATGACGTTTCTCAATTTACAAGAACGTGAGTACGGACTCGTGTCCTCACAAGTATGTTCTTGAGAAGAACCCAGGAAAGTCTGGACTCTGGGATAATGGGGGCACACAGAATAAATCTGGGTCAACTGGAACAGAAGCGTACTGATGACATCATCACACGCTCTGCTCGTCTGGAGCTGCATTTCACCTCCTGTTATTGATAGTCTCTAGATAATAATAGATTAGTGGGGGAATAATATTTAACAGTCAGATAAACACAAATCTAATGAACATTTTGCCAAATAAAACAAATCAAACCTCCATCAGAGCCAGCGGTCCTTCAGACAAGGCTATGCAGAGAGAGGGCCGCTGCAGACGGGCTGACGGTAGCCCCGGCCGCTGCAGACGGGCTGACGTTATGTTCTAATGTTCTCGCCTCACATGATCTTAAAACGTACTTTTATTGAACAACAGCAACAGAAAAGAGAACCTTTAACTTAATACTCTGAGCTCTGTGAGCGCTAACCTGTTAGCTGCTGTCGCAGTGCATGCTGGGACAGCTGTCAGTTTGGAGAACGGACAAATCTGCTCTGATGCGTGCTGGGTAAAGAGGGAGGGGCCGGAACAACATCCGGGGACTTTGTCCGTTCTCGGTCTGCTGTTCTTGTGAATTGGAACAGCGCTAGAGCTGATGCTGATGACGTTTCACGAGAACGCACAATCACTCATAGTGAGAACTGGCCAAAACCAGGCTTTGTTGGGCTATGGCATAAAGCCTGGAACTAAACGCTATTTCTGACATTTTGAATTGAAAAAGCTTCCTGGATGGAAGAGAAACGTCTTCAAACTTGGAATTAAAGTCCAGTGGATTGTTTTCTAAATTTTTTGGTATTTCAACAGTTGGAAAAGTTCTCAACTTTTTTGAACTGTTGGAGAAGAATCACCTGAGACTTAAAAAAAAAAAAAAAGGATTAGATCCGGCCAAACTAACCTGGCTCTGTCCCCCTAAACCCCCGTTTTACAGCTTCTATTTACTCATTTTATCTTTAGTTAATCTTTAATGTCTACATTAGTTAACTGATTTAATCACCTTTCATCTTACCACCTTTGTTCCCACGGTGACGTCATTCTAATCAATTTTATTTATCGATTCTTTGAGTTGGACTCAAAGCGATCAAACTGAGAAACTGATGATGATTAAATAATGTGGCTGAAAGCTCTGTTAGGCTCAGAGGAACCAGTCCAAATGGACCCGGACTGGTTCCCAGTAACCTGGAAGGATTCTAATGGTTTTTATTTCTGCTCTCTGTCTCTGTGTCCAGATGAGTCTACAGTGGACGGCCGTGGCCACCTTCCTCTATGTGGAGGTCTTCCTGGTTCTTCTTCTCTGCATCCCCTTCATCTCTCCTAAAAGGTCGGTGTTCACCTGTCCAGAGTCACACCAGGTGAAAACTTTTCAGAGATAAAAACCAGAGAAAGATCAAAGCGGTCTGGAAAAGCTGACGTCTGGTTCAGTCTCAAAATAACAGAAGTAAAGAAATAAAAGAGGCTATGGAGTCATTTTCTGCACAAAAACGATATGAGGGGTAAAATGCCTGAGTTGCTTTTTTCCATCAATGTAACATTCAATATATTTTAGCACAACTTTTTCAAATGAGAAAGACAAGAAACTCTAGAAAAACGACAGCATCATCTACTGAATAAAGAATTACTGCATTAACATTTCACAGTGAATTACTTTCTATTTTCTAACTTTAGACCCAATGGCTAACTCAGTCAGACTAATGTTAGTCTGCAGACTATACTATCGGATCAATCGGCTATAGATGGATTTATTGCTTAGTTCATCCACTGACTGGGAAATTACCTGACGAACGTCTTCCTGCAGCCAGAAAACTGCTGGTTTTAGCAGCCAAATGCTGCACATGGAGGCACTCTGACTGCACGTCTCTATGGGAGCAGGGAGTACCAATATGGCGGCCGATGGATTCACTTTTTTCAGGCTATCAGCGATCCAGTGAATGTAGATCAGTGGTAGTTAGTGATGCTGAGATGAAGCCTCATTGAGCCGTTTGGCCAAATAGCTTCAACGATCCCCACAGTTCATGAGGCTTCATGTGAACATGTCACCACCTGCTGGTGGAGAGCAGAACTACAGTTTGTAATAAAATCTGTTTTTTTGCAACTGTTTTTCTTTTTTTTTTCCCATTTCACGTTCCCTTGAAATTGTTAATGGTTGGTGTGTATAATAAAATCTTTGGTAATTTTTTTTAAGTGTAAAACTTCTTAGAACAATCATTTAAGGTGCACCGTTTTCTGCCATTTTAGTGAAATAAACTCAAGCAGACAGTGAAAGTGTTTGGGATTATTAAAGCATTTCTGATTCTGATTGCCCAGTTTGCTCAATTTGCACAGAGGGAAATTACTTTGAGCAATGATGAGCAAAATGAAAGGTGTTAGTCATTTTTATTTAAACATGATAGTTTTTCCATGTTTTTTGGTTTTAATCAGGTTGGAAGTTGTGTTCAATCAATCTTTTGACTAAACCGACCTAATTTACCCAATCTATATTTTTACTCGGGCAAAACAACGCAAATTAGTCTCATCAGCCAGTTTAATCGTAATTTTCAAAAGTCAAAGACAGGTGTTGAACCATCAACTTCTAGAGTGGGAGCCTGTCTCTAACAGATGACGCCACCTATGTAGATGACCATAGTAAGGAGAAAATACTAGTTAACACCAACTTGTTAACACCGACATTGTCCGATGGTTTGCTCAAATTTTGATCATTACATTGTTTATTCAAACTAAATTAGTTTTAAGCAACTAGATTGGTTGTTTTTCCAACCAATCTATTTTTAGAATCTATGCAAACTTTATCCAGCTGAGAGCATCTCTCCTCCAATCTCCCACATCTTGACTAAACACTGAGGCTGTTTAGATGCCTGTCAAAATTGTTGCGCCTCCCGAACCACTTTGCGAAGTGGTCATGTGGTTTCACGGTAGCGAGGCCTCGGACGTCATTCATTTCGGCCCCGCCTCTAAATGAATCACGCCTCGACACGCGCTTCGGGGGAAACGCCCCCTCCATTACTCGACACACGCCTCGAAGCCTCGGCTCTTATAACATCACTAGCGGTAGTATCTCAAAGAGGAAGACAGAGTTGCAGCTGAAAGAGGATCTATTTAGGCTAGCTAAAAGTTAGCATTTTTCCACATGACAAGAACATGAAAAATTTTAACCGCAAATGCTTTTATCTTAATATTTAATTGAGCTTGTTCTTTTTTTTTCAGTAGATGTGTAAATCCGACCTCTTTAAGATAAATTCATGTTAGTTAATTTAATCGGATTGTTTCTGGCCCCGTTCAAAGGTTCTTGAAATGTTCTGAAACGTCTCAGAATCAGAACCAGAATCTGTTTGTGCATCGCTATGGCAACTGGATCCAGATGCGTGGTTAGGAAGTAGAGGGCCCCGCTTTATCAGCAAGGATTCAGAATCTCTGGTACCAGCCAGTTCTGATCTGCTGCTTTGGTTCCTGTTGGGTCTGGGCCAGAGATGCACTGATCTGACATCGCCTCCGATGATTAATTTCTGGATCAGATATCGGAGATCCAATCCGGCGCCCTTTACATGGAATTTATCTGCCTTTTTGCTGCTATTTGTTAATAAATGATATAAAGTTAATTTATACCTGCGTTGATTTATTACCTTTTTAAATAATTATCTTTGGGCTAATCCGTCATTCAGATGCTGAGAAATGTGTTTCATTGATTGAGTCGTTGAATCGGATCGCTATCAGATATCAGCCCATGGTGCGTCTCTAGACTGGGCTCAGGAGGGGTTCCACCTCTGGTTCTGGGAACCATAACCGGCTCTGCTTCTCCCTTCTTTCAGCTGGAGCAGGGTCTTCAAGTCCCGGCTGGTGCAGACCATCGCCCTGTATGGAAACACCTGGTTCATGGTGGCCATGGCCATCCTGGTCTTCCTCCTCATCGGTAAATCTCTACAGAAATATTCTAGATAAGTGCTGACCCAGTGGGTCAGAGCAGCGCGCTGTGCTCTGAGAAGGCTGCAAATACCCGGTTTGATCCCCACAGCCTCCACTCTGAGTCCCTGAGCAAGACCCTTTACCCGCATTTAACCCATTTAACCCATTTAACCCATCCACTTGGGTTAAATGGGTTAAATGCAAAGAGAGAATCTCCCCTTTGTGCGACAATAAAGGGATTTACATACATAGATGTCTACTCTATAACTTATCTATAGAGCTGCTTTCTGAATCAACCATGATGATCTAGAAATCTGATCTCTTTTTTTGGGGGGGGGAATAAAAAAAAAAAGGAAAAATAAAGAAAAAAAGGGAAATGAGAAAAGAAAAAAAAGGATTTTATTCAGCTGTGGGGTTTTAACATTTTATGAAGTGTGTCAGATGATGGACAGCTCCAGTTTAACAGGCTCCTCCTTTAATGATTTTTAACTGACACTTGTTTTACACCAGTAACTGTTTATATGTTTTGAATTGTTTGAATAAAGTGTTGTTAAAAGTAAAATAAAGTCTAAACCAGCATCAGCTCCGGTCAGAGAGCTGAAGCCGATCAGCAGCTGAATCTCACTGAAGATCAAACTGTTCGCCACCTCGCTAGGCTAAGATGGGATATCTGTAAACTTAGATCTGTGTTTTTTTTGCTACCAGCTGGTGTTAACGGTGTGTTCATGTGTGCAGATGCATTTCGTGAAGTCAGGAAGTACAGTGTGACGGACAAAGTGGACGTGACAAACAACCCCACGGCCATCGAACACATCCACATGAAGCTGTTCAGAGCTCAGAGGAACGAGTACATCGCCGGCTTCGCCCTGCTGCTCTGCCTGTAAGACACACACACAGTCTGGTTTCACTATTCTGGTGGGAGACTTTCCATTGACCTCCATTCATTTGTGAGGTATACAGCCTAACGGGGGACACTAACCCTAAAGCTATCCATTACAGTAAATACCTAACCTTAACCCAAACTCAATGCACACCTTAGTCCAGGGATGTCAGACCGGTTCCAGAAAGAGCCGTATGGCCGCTGGTTTTCTTATAACCGAGCAGTAGCACCACAGACTGCAGTCATCTCATCACGTCGTCATGTTAAGACTGGAGCTACCTGTTGAGGTGAATGCAGTCTGGTGTGCTATTGTATGGACTGAATGTTGCATGTAAAAAATACGGAAGAGGATTAGGGCTACTGAAAATAATAAAAGTTAACTGATTTTAAATTTTCTTTCAGTTTAATATGGGAAAAAAGTCAGAATTTTGACTTTTTCTCTCAGAATTTTGACTTTTTTCTCAGAATTTTGACTTTTTTCTCAGAATTTTGACTTTTTTTCTCAGAATTTTGACTTTTTTTCTCAGAATTGTGACGTTTTTCTCAGAATTGTGACTTTTTTCTCAGAATTGTGACGTTTTTCTCAGAATTGTGACTTTTTTCTCAGAATTGTGACTTTTTTCTCAGAATTGTGACTTTTTTCTCAGAATTGTGACTTTAATCTCGGAATTTATGGAACCAGTTTGACATCCCTGCCTTAGTCCTAATGTAACACCCTAAGCCTAGAAACGTGAGGGGATCTGATGGAGGTCCCCATAAGGATGGTTGGCCCCCACGATGTAGACGTTTTATGGACAGACGGATATCATCATTAATTTTAGCTCTGTTTTTTTTCTCCATTTACCCCAAAATGCCCCTACAGTCAATTTCCAGTAGGTTCAATTAGATGATTCAAGGGCTCATCTAATTGGTCAAATGCCAAAATAAGATGTACAGCCATGTAGCAGGATCTATGCTGAATGGCTGGATATAGATGTTGCGTTTCTAGACCTCACTGATGGGGGGTAAAGGGGTATGCAAGTGATGAAAAACCGTAACTTGCGCTATAAAGGGTTAAACTTTTATTAATGGTGATGATAAAGTTTTGGCTCCATAACATGTATGGTAACTTTGTGGCTTCATGATGTCTGAGTGAGTTTCTGCCAGCAGGGGGCAGCAGAACACATCAGATGCCACATGTGATCCTGCAGCTGCTGGAACACCAGCCCAGGAGGAAGAGCAGCTGGGGCTCCTCTGACCTAACACCTTTCTTTCACTTCCCTGAGCCAAGGCGGCGCTCTCTATGACTCGCTGTTTATCCGGATCAGGTTCCATGTGAACCCTCTGCATTAAGCAGGGATTCATCCGCCGCTGAAAATAGAACCAAACATTTTCTCCTTCGGTTCTGATTCAAGCAGAGACGCCAATAAAAGCCTGAGATTAAAGTTTACAGTTTTGATCTTAGACGTTCAAATTCATAACGCATCATAAGTCGTCCCCAGACTCGGACATGAACACGTCCTTCCAGAGCCAAAACATCAGCGCCATGAAGGAAGGAAGTTACAGAACCCAGAGCCATGTGGAGATGCCAGGCGGGTCAGAGAGCCACCGCTCTATGTTTGGACATTCTGCCCCGGGCTGCAGGGACCCGTTTCTAACTCTTTAAAAATAGCAGCCGGAGCCGGATGAGCGTGAGTAAACGTGCAACACAAATAAATCCCAGGCTGCCAGAAAGTCCCCGAATGCATCAGCGGGCAGATATTTACAACCTGCACATGTTCTTGGCTTCAGCGTCACATGATGCTGGTGACCTCACCGAGGAGAGGCTGCAGCGCAGATTTCAACTGAATCGCTTCAAACCAGCGAAACCTGATAGCAGCAGCTTCATCCTCCTCATTCAACATCATTATAGCTCATGGAAATCCGTGGCGCACGCTTCATGGTCATTGAGCTGCAGGGGTCCATGGTGAACTGGAGGGGCGCGGCGTTTGCTAATTTCACCTTTTCCATGGAAACGAGAAATTGGTCAGAATTCGCATTATGGTTTGAGCGGACATAGAGAAGAAAGAGCAATGATAAGGCCTCTTTAGGCCTCAGGAGGAAGACGGAGGTCTTCTGAGGTCTAAGGAGGGAAAAACAGAAACTTTAATCTATTGAATGTTTACTAACTGAGCACTGGGTGGTTCAGCTCTATATGGAGACTGGTTCCGTTTTCCTCCCCGGAGCAGAAAAATACGCCTGAGGCTGAAAGACTGAGATTATATGATCAGAGGGAGGAGAGGAGCAGTTTAGATTCACAGCTAGTCTGCTTTTCTCTGATCCCCCCACCTCCACCCGTCCTGTTAGTCAATGTTTCCTCATCATCTGTCAGCACAGCACTCAGTGGTGAGTGTGTGTGCGAGGGGGTTGGACGTGCTCGCCGTCATGAGTGCAAATCCTGAAAATGTCAAAGGCACAAAGGCCAGAGTTTGACCCTCAACTTATTTACAAAGCAGTTTGGTTCTCGATTAAACACTCTTCATGCAGAATAATATGAAAACATGAATCCGACTGACTCTGTTCACGTGTTCATGCTGCAGACTGACTCGGTTCACGTGTTCATGTGCAGACTGACTCTGTTGACGTGTTCATGTGCAGACTGACTCTGTTGACGTGTTCATTCTGCAGACTGACTCTGTTCACGTGTTCATTCTGCAGACTGACTCTGTTCACGTGTTCATTCTGCAGACTGACTCTGTTGACGTGTTCATGTCGCAGACCGACTCGGTTCACGTGTTCATTCTGCAGACTGACTCTGTTGACGTGTTCATTCTGCAGACTGACTCGGTTCACGTGTTCATGTGCAGACTGACTCTGTTGACGTGTTCATTCTGCAGACTGACTCTGTTGACGTGTTCATGTCGCAGACCGACTCGGTTCACGTGTTTATTCTGCAGACTGACTCGGTTCACGTGTTCATGTCGCAGACTGACTCGGTTCACGTGTTCATGCTGCAGACTGTTCATGCTGCAGACTGACTGTTCACGTGTTCATGCTGCAGACTGACTCTGTTGACGTGTTCATTCTGCAGACTGACTCTGTTCACGTGTTCATGCTGCAGACTGACTCTGTTCACGTGTTCATGCTGCAGACTGACTCTGTTCACGTGTTCATGCTGCAGACTGACTCTGTTCACGTGTTCATTCTGCAGACTGACTGTTCACGTGTTCATGCTGCAGACTGACTCTGTTCACGTGTTCATGCTGCAGACTGACTCTGTTCACGTGTTCATTCTGCAGACTGACTGTTCACGTGTTCATGCTGCAGACTGACTCTGTTCACGTGTTCATGTCGCAGACTGACTCTGTTCACGTGTTCATTCTGCAGACTGACTCTGTTCACGTGTTCATGCTGCAGACTGACTCTGTTCACGTGTTCATGTCGCAGACTGACTCTGTTCACGTGTTCATGCTGCAGACTGACTCTGTTGACGTGTTCATTCTGCAGATTGACTCTGTTCACGTGTTCATTCTGCAGATTGACTCTGTTGACGTGTTCATTCTGCAGATTGACTCTGTTCACGTGTTCATGCTGCAGATTGACTCTGTTGACGTGTTCATGCTGCAGACTGACTCTGTTGACGTGTTCATTCTGCAGACTGACTGTTCACGTGTTCATTCTGCAGACTGACTCTGTTCACGTGTTCATGCTGCAGACTGACTCTGTTCACGTGTTCATGCTGCAGATTGACTCTGTTGACGTGTTCATGCTGCAGACTGACTTTGTTGACGTGTTCATTCTGCAGACTGACTCTGTTGACGTGTTCATTCTGCAGACTGACTCTGTTCACGTGTTCATGCTGCAGACTGACTCTGTTCACGTGTTCATGCTGGAGACTGACTCTGTTCACGTGTTCATGCTGCAGACTGACTCTGTTCACGTGTTCATGCTGCAGATTGACTCTGTTGACGTGTTCATGCTGCAGACTGACTTTGTTGACGTGTTCATTCTGCAGACTGACTCTGTTGACGTGTTCATTCTGCAGACTGACTCTGTTCACGTGTTCATGCTGCAGACTGACTCTGTTCACGTGTTCATTCTGCAGACTGACTCTGTTCACGTGTTCATGCTGCAGACTGACTCTGTTCACGTGTTCATGCTGCAGACTGACTCTGTTCACGTGTTCATTCTGCAGACTGACTCTGTTGACGTGTTCATTCTGCAGACTGACTCTGTTCACGTGTTCATGCTGCAGACTGACTCTGTTCACGTGTTCATGCTGCAGACTGACTCTGTTCACGTGTTCATGCTGCAGACTGACTCTGTTCACGTGTTCATGTCGCAGACTGACTCTGTTCACGTGTTCATGCTGCAGACTGACTCTGTTGACGTGTTCATGCTGCAGACTGACTCTGTTGACGTGTTCATTCTGCAGACTGACTCTGTTCACGTGTTCATGCTGCAGACTGACTCTGTTCACGTGTTCATGCTGCAGACTGACTCTGTTCACGTGTTCATGCTGCAGACTGACTCTGTTCACGTGTTCATGCTGCAGACTGACTCTGTTCACGTGTTCATGCTGCAGACTGACTCTGTTCACGTGTTCATGCTGCAGACTGACTCTGTTCACGTGTTCATGCTGCAGACTGACTCTGTTCACGTGTTCATGCTGCAGACTGACTCTGTTCACGTGTTCATGCTGCAGACTGACTCTGTTCACGTGTTCATGCTGCAGACTGACTCTGTTCACGTGTTCATGCTGCAGACTGACTCTGTTCACGTGTTCATGCTGCAGACTGACTCTGTTCACGTGTTCATGCTGCAGACTGACTCTGTTCACGTGTTCATGCTGCAGACTGACTCTGTTCACGTGTTCATGCTGCAGACTGACTCTGTTCACGTGTTCATGCTGCAGACTGACTCTGTTCACGTGTTCATGCTGCAGACTGACTCTGTTCACGTGTTCATGCTGCAGACTGACTCTGTTCACGTGTTCATGCTGCAGACTGACTCTGTTGACGTGTTCATTCTGCAGACTGACTCTGTTGACGTGTTCATTCTGCAGACTGACTCTGTTCACGTGTTCATGCTGCAGACTGACTCTGTTCACGTGTTCATGCTGCAGATTGACTCTGTTCACGTGTTCATGCTGCAGACTGACTCTGTTGACGTGTTCATGCTGCAGACTGACTCTGTTGACGTGTTCATTCTGCAGACTGACTCTGTTCACGTGTTCATGCTGCAGACTGACTCTGTTCACGTGTTCATGCTGCAGATTGACTCTGTTGACGTGTTCATGCTGCAGACTGACTCTGTTGACGTGTTCATTCTGCAGACTGACTCTGTTCACGTGTTCATTCTGCAGACTGACTCTGTTCACGTGTTCATGCTGCAGACTGACTCTGTTCACGTGTTCATGCTGCAGACTGACTCTGTTCACGTGTTCATGCTGCAGACTGACTCTGTTCACGTGTTCATGCTGCAGACTGACTCTGTTCACGTGTTCATTCTGCAGACTGACTGTTCACGTGTTCATGCTGCAGACTGACTCTGTTCACGTGTTCATGCTGCAGACTGACTCTGTTCACGTGTTCATGCTGCAGACTGACTCTGTTCACGTGTTCATGCTGCAGACTGACTCTGTTCACGTGTTCATGCTGCAGACTGACTCTGTTCACGTGTTCATGCTGCAGACTGACTCTGTTCACGTGTTCATGCTGCAGACTGACTCTGTTCACGTGTTCATGCTGCAGACTGACTCTGTTCACGTGTTCATGCTGCAGACTGACTCTGTTCACGTGTTCATGCTGCAGACTGACTCTGTTCACGTGTTCATTCTGCAGACTGACTCTGTTCACGTGTTCATGCTGCAGACTGACTCTGTTCACGTGTTCATTCTGCAGACTGACTCTGTTGACGTGTTCATTCTGCAGACTGACTCTGTTCACGTGTTCATGCTGCAGACTGACTCTGTTCACGTGTTCATGCTGCAGACTGACTCTGTTGACGTGTTCATTCTGCAGACTGACTCTGTTCACGTGTTCATGCTGCAGACTGACTCTGTTCACGTGTTCATGCTGCAGACTGACTCTGTTCACGTGTTCATGCTGCAGACTGACTCTGTTGACGTGTTCATGCTGCAGACTGACTCTGTTCACGTGTTCATTCTGCAGACTGACTCTGTTCACGTGTTCATGCTGCAGACTGACTCTGTTCACGTGTTCATTCTGCAGACTGACTCTGTTCACGTGTTCATTCTGCAGACTGACTCTGTTCACGTGTTCATGCTGCAGACTGACTCTGTTCACGTGTTCATTCTGCAGACTGACTCTGTTCACGTGTTCATGCTGCAGACTGACTCTGTTCACGTGTTCATGCTGCAGACTGACTCTGTTCACGTGTTCATGCTGCAGACTGACTCTGTTCACGTGTTCATGCTGCAGACTGACTGTTCACGTGTTCATGCTGCAGACTGACTCTGTTCACGTGTTCATGCTGCAGACTGACTCTGTTCACGTGTTCATGCTGCAGACTGACTCTGTTCACGTGTTCATGCTGCAGACTGACTCTGTTCACGTGTTCATGCTGCAGACTGACTCTGTTCACGTGTTCATGTCGCAGACTGACTCTGTTCACGTGTTCATGTCGCAGACTGACTCTGTTCACGTGTTCATGTCGCAGACTGACTCTGTTCATGTGTTCATGCTGCAGACTGACTCTGTTCACGTGTTCATGCTGCAGACTGACTCTGTTCACGTGTTCATGCTGCAGACTGACTCTGTTCACGTGTTCATGCTGCAGACTGACTCTGTTCACGTGTTCATGCTGCAGACTGACTCTGTTCACGTGTTCATGCTGCAGACTGACTCGGTTCACGTGTTCATTCTGCAGACTGACTCGGTTCACGTGTTCATTCTGCAGACTGACTCTGTTCACGTGTTCATTCTGCAGACTGACTCTGTTCACGTGTTCATGTCGCAGACTGACTCTGTTCACGTGTTCATGTCGCAGACTGACTGTTCACGTGTTCATGCTGCAGACTGACTCTGTTGACGTGTTCATGCTGCAGACTGACTCTGTTGACGTGTTCATTCTGCAGACTGACTCTGTTCACGTGTTCATGCTGCAGACTGACTCTGTTCACGTGTTCATGCTGCAGACTGACTCTGTTCACGTGTTCATTCTGCAGACTGACTCTGTTCACGTGTTCATGTCGCAGACTGACTCTGTTCACGTGTTCATGCTGCAGACTGACTCTGTTCACGTGTTCATGCTGCAGACTGACTCTGTTCACGTGTTCATTCTGCAGACTGACTCTGTTCACGTGTTCATGCTGCAGACTGACTCTGTTCACGTGTTCATGCTGCAGACTGACTCTGTTCACGTGTTCATGCTGCAGACTGACTCTGTTCACGTGTTCATGCTGCAGACTGACTCTGTTCACGTGTTCATGCTGCAGACTGACTCTGTTCACGTGTTCATGCTGCAGACTGACTCTGTTCACGTGTTCATGCTGCAGACTGACTCTGTTCACGTGTTCATGTCGCAGACTGACTCTGTTCACGTGTTCATGTCGCAGACTGACTCTGTTCACGTGTTCATGTCGCAGACTGACTCTGTTCACGTGTTCATTCTGCAGACTGACTCTGTTCACGTGTTCATGTCGCAGACTGACTCTGTTCACGTGTTCATGTCGCAGACTGACTCTGTTCACGTGTTCATGCTGCAGACTGACTCTGTTCACGTGTTCATGCTGCAGACTGACTCTGTTCACGTGTTCATGCTGCAGACTGACTCTGTTCACGTGTTCATGCTGCAGACTGACTCTGTTCACGTGTTCATGCTGCAGACTGACTCTGTTCACGTGTTCATGCTGCAGACTGACTCTGTTCACGTGTTCATGCTGCAGACTGACTCTGTTCACGTGTTCATGTCGCAGACTGACTCTGTTCACGCGTTCATGTCGCAGACTGACTCTGTTCACGCGTTCATGTCGCAGACTGACTCTGTTCACGCGTTCATGTCGCAGACTGACTCTGTTCACGCGTTCATGTCGCAGACTGACTCTGTTCACGTGTTCATGCTGCAGACTGACTCTGTTGACGTGTTCATTCTGCAGACTGACTCGGTTCACGTGTTCATGTCGCAGACTGACTCGGTTCACGTGTTCATGCTGCAGACTGACTCTGTTCACGTGTTCATGTCGCAGACTGACTCTGTTCACGTGTTCATGTCGCAGACTGACTCTGTTCACGTGTTCATGTCGCAGACTGACTCTGTTCACGTGTTCATGTCGCAGACTGACTCTGTTCACGTGTTCATGCTGCAGACTGACTCTGTTGACGTGTTCATTCTGCAGACTGACTCGGTTCACGTGTTCATGTCGCAGACTGACTCGGTTCACGTGTTCATGTCGCAGACTGACTCTGTTCACGTGTTCATGCTGCAGACTGACTCTGTTGACGTGTTCATTCTGCAGACTGACTCTGTTGACGTGTTCATGTCGCAGACTGACTCGGTTCACGTGTTCATGTCGCAGACTGACTCGGTTCACGTGTTCATGTCGCAGACTGACTCGGTTCACGTGTTCATGTCGCAGACTGACTCTGTTCACGTGTTCATGTCGCAGACTGACTCTGTTCACGTGTTCATGTCGCAGACTGACTCGGTTCACGTGTTCATGCTGCAGACTGACTCTGTTCATGTGTTCATGCTGCAGACTGACTCTGTTCATGTGTTCATGTCGCAGACTGCTGCGTCGCATTGCCACCCTGCTCTCCCAGCAAGCCACTCTCATGGCTTCTAACTCGGCCTTCAAGAGCCAGGCTGAGAGCGCCACCAACGCTGCAAAGACCTACATGGAGGAGAACGAGCGTCTGCAAGAGGTGAAACATCAACACACCTAAAACATGAAACTCAATTTTCCTTCTTCTTTTAGTTCTCCATTTGACTGTGGCGCTCACTGCACCTTCCTCTACCTCCTCTCCCTAAATCACTAAACTGAGTCAGTTTGAAGCACCTCGACTGAAGGGACACCTGGTTGATGGGACACCCGTCCGCAGCAGCCAGGGCTAGCGTCGGCCCGTCCGCAGCAGCCAGGGCTAACGTCGGCCCGTCCGCAGCAGCCAGGGCTAGCGTCGGCCCGTCCGCAGCAGCCAGGGCTAGCGTCGGCCCGTCCGCAGCAGCCAGGGCTAGCGTCGGCCCGTCCGCAGCAGCCAGGGCTAGCGTCGGCCCGTCCGCAGCAGCCAGGGCTAGCGTCGGCCCGTCCGCAGCAGCCAGGGCTAACGTCGGCCCGTCCGCAGCAGCCAGGGCTAACGTCGGCCCGTCCGCAGCAGCCAGGGCTAGCGTCGGCCCGTCCGCAGCAGCCAGGGCTAACGTCGGCCCGTCCGCAGCAGCCAGGGCTAGCGTCGGCCCGTCCGCAGCAGCCAGGGCTAACGTCGGCCCGTCCGCAGCAGCCAGGGCTAGCGTCGGCCCGTCCGCAGCAGCCAGGGCTAGCGTCGGCCCGTCCGCAGCAGCCAGGGCTAGCGTCGGCCCGTCCGCAGCAGCCAGGGCTAGCGTCGGCCCGTCCGCAGCAGCCAGGGCTAACGTCGGCCCGTCCGCAGCAGCCAGGGCTAACGTCGGCCCGTCCGCAGCAGCCAGGGCTAGCGTCGGCCCGTCCGCAGCAGCCAGGGCTAGCGTCGGCCCGTCCGCAGCAGCCAGGGCTAGCGTCGGCCCGTCCGCAGCAGCCAGGGCTAGCGTCGGCCCGTCCGCAGCAGCCACGGCTAACGTCGGCTCTTATCTGTCTTCTCCTCACTTCTATGAATTATTCGTTATCGTGTCCCTCTGCACCATCTTACTGATGACAGATTTACCCTGGTCCATTAAGTTGATCCAGACCGTGAGCTTTACTAAAACCAGTTCAGATCTTCAATCATCAGAACCTCTGAGCTTCCTCTGATCATCTTTCCTGGACCGACACCTCCTCACAGTAACACTCACATGTCCAACTTTCCCAACACCTCACAGTCATGAGACACACTCGTGTTGCAACATCACCCCCCCAGTGACCGAGTGTTTCTGGGCGGATTCATCTGGAGATTGTTACTCATGGAGGAAGGAACCAAACATGGTTCTGTTAGGGTCCGTTACCCCCACCGTGGTCTCTACATGAGACTGAGTTCCTGGACCTCAGAGGACTTCCTTTCTCAGAAGCTCATGACATGGATCCACACAGAGAATTCCTTCTGGTTGGTCTGGGGACGTCTATATTTCAGCTCTAACTGTGGCACACATGCAGACGTGATCACATGTTCTCACTCAGGGATGCAAGCGTGTCTTGCTTCCATTATTGTTGCAAAGAACTTTTTTTTTGTAAATGGAAATTAGAAAAAACTTTATTCAAAAAAAGCTTTTTTTTTTCAAACTTTTTCCAACTTTATTTTTTTTTCTTTTTTTTATTATAGTTTTATTTTCAAATTCTTTGTTTTCACAAAGGACCAATAGAAACGCTCCTCATTTCAGAGGAAAGCCCCGCCCCCCAGAAGGGAAGAGGATATGATCTTTAAAATATAAAAGAATTTACTCGCTAAAACTCTATCTGATGGAGGGAAAGTAAAACGATAATAATAATAAAACATTTGTACAAAATTACTTTGAAAACCTTTTTTTATTAAGAAGTTTTCCAAGTTTTATTTCAAATTGTCTCTGTAGAAGAACAGCATTTTATTCCTTCCCTCCAACCTTTGAGACCCTCTGAACAGATTCTAACAAAATTCTATTCAGTTTATTTCTATAGCCCCAATTCACATCATGTCATCTCAGGTCACTTTCCAGTTCACCAGATCATCCAGTCAGATTGATTCAAAGTTTTCTATCTAAGGAAAACCAGCTGATTGCATCGACTCATTGACTCTTCAGCAATCCCTCACACTAAGCATGCTTGTAGCGACAGTGGAGAGGAAAAACTCCCTTTGAACAGGAAGAAACCTCCAGCAGAACCAGGCTCAGTGTGAGCGGCCATCTGCTGAGGCCCACTGGGGTTCAAGGAGACAGAAGCAGACATAGAAAAAGAAGCATAGATACAAAAGGCAACTGTCAACCAGCTCCACAGGCGGCCCCGTCCAGGAAACACACAGCCAGGCAGACGAGCTCCGAGCCAGCTCCCATGTCAGAGGATGAAGAGAGCACATCCAGTTAGTCACAGTCAGAGAAACAGGACTACACTGGAAAACAGGCCAAGCTCCAACATCTAGAAACAAAGGTGTTGATGGCAACAGCACAGCTGATATTTCTCTCCAGGATGGAGTCACAGCCAAACAGCAACAGACCAGATGAAGCTACTATGAGAAAAAGCAGAGAGAGCAGAACGTTAGAGATTGAACTAACAGATTCTGCAGAGTGGGAGAATAGAGATAGAATGATGGAAAAGGGGTCCCTATGTCCTCCAGCAGTCTAAGCCTATAGCAGCATAACTATAGCATAATAACATTGACCAATCAGAGCAGATCCTCTTAGGAACGGATCATTTAGGTTCTGCAGGTCAGAGGTCACCAACAGACGGCTGGAAATCCTGAAATACATTCAGCTGCTGGAAGCAGACGACCTCTGATTGGCTCACAAGAAGTCGCAGCTCCTCTGAGATCCGTTTACGGTTCAGTCAGGAACATGAGCTCATCATCAGATTATTTACATCAGAGCAACCAAATGACCGCGTTGACCTGAACCATCATGAGGAGCTCTGAGCTGCCAGGTATCCAACTCCCAGTCACTGAGGCGCTCCACACTCAGTTCCCAACTAAAGGTCATCGCTGAACAAGCTCTTTTAGTCACAGTGTTGTAATGGAGACCACCCAACTCTAAACCGAGTGTAGACCAAAACCACGCCAGGAACTGCCAGTGAGAGACGGTGATTAAAACGATCGCTATAATTACATGAATGCAGCTTTTAATAGAAAGTAAAGAAAAGAAAAAAACCTGCTTTCTCTGGATAATCATCTAAACGGACCGCAGTCAAAGAGAAACTGACCTGGACTCTCTCTCTGCGGTCCCAGGTCAGTCTTCCAGGATAGAAGTAAAGTTTTATTTTAGAAATAAGGACTCACCCACTCTGGGTTTTAAGTAACTGTTGTTTTTATACTATTTAAAGTTGTAGGGAAAACATATTTAAATGTCAAAATTGTATATAAATTAGGAAATGTCTACTTAAAAAGAAATCGTGTCTTAAAATCTGTGTTTTTTCCCCGTTATCTTCTGCAGGCCGGTTAGTTCTACGTCAGCCTGAACACCTAAATTCAGCCAATCATTTATCAACGGTCATCTGTCAATCACATGTTTCCGGTCATAGCATCTTGATTCATATGTCGCAGCTAATTTACGCAACGGTTGAAATCAGAATCCTTTCCTTTCCCATTGAGTTGCGTCCCAGTGTTCACGGGGATGGACGTCTGTGTCTTCGGCAGGCGTAGAGCTAACAGAGCTGGCAGCGTTGCGAGGCAAGGGCTCAAACATGGACGGCTGGAAGCCTTCTACACCAAACCAAGCTTCTGCCGCCCTGGCGTCCTCTTCCACAACATCTTCGTCCCCGCTTTCCTCCTCTAAATAAAAAATGGATGACGGAGGAGACTCATCCACGACCTCTGACACTAAACTCTCCTCCTCTTGCATGTTTCCGCTGTCCATAGCGTTCCTTGACAGCGTCGTTTCTAAGTCACCAATTTAGTGCTACTTGGTCCCAATGGAATTTCCCATTGGGAACCTGCTAGCACTAAGTTGCTAACTGGTTAGCAAGATGCTTCCCACAAACCGGCTACAACCAAACTGGCTTGCGAACCCTCCACCACAACAATCCCGCCCCCTTGATAAACGACCAATCACATTCACTTTATTCACTCGTGTAAAGTCGGGCATCACTCAGGAGAATTCGTAACCGTTGGAACGGCCGCTTCCCTACGACTTTAATTAAATGCACATGATTAATATTGAACCTGTAGAACTGAGGTCCAAACTCTGCAGGATCTCCAGAAGCAGACAACTTGAGGTCTGCAGCTGAAACTTTTTACCATTCTGGTTTCTGCTGCGTCTCCAGCTGACTCGTTTCTCTGCTTTTAACAGTCAGCCATGTTCAGTCTTTCTTCTGTTTGTCCTGAATTTTTCCTTGAATTGGTTTAATTATCACAGCAGGTTAGTGTCCGACATGTTTCTGTTCGCCTTCATGCTGGAGCAGGTAGAGATTCATCCTGTAACTGGTGGGTTGCTGGTTCAACCCTCTCTCTTGCCCTTTAGCAGGGCTTTTACCCGCTTGCCTGCTGTTGGTGGTCAGAGGAACCGGTGACACTATTTTCCAGCATTCCTGGTGCAGCTGTGGCTACAATGTAGCTCACTGCCATCAGTGTATGAGTGCAGTGTGAAGCACTTTGGGGTTCTTTTTAGACGACTTACTGATTATTTTCAAACACCTGTTGTACCTCTAGGTCAAAGTTGCTCAATTTGTGTCACTGTTTCCTTAGAAACTGCGTGAGGCTGGAATCGAGATACCAGAGGCCGGGAAGAAAGGAGCAGGACTGCAGGAGGAGAACAAGACTCTGAAAGAGGAACTAAAGACGCTGAAGGAGCAGCTGCAGGACACCAAGAAAGGTACGGTGGAGCAGAGCGGAAGGCAGATCAGAACTAATGAAGCTCTGAGAAGTTTTGATCCGATTTGTGACTTTGATCTTCTGATGCAGCTCTACAGAAGTCTGACAGTGACGTGAGTGCAATGAAGAAACAGGCGGAGAACCTGACGGTGGAGTACGACAGACTGCTGGAGGAGCACAGCAAGCTGCTGGTAAAATAGTTCAACCCAATTCGTTAAATCAGTGGCAAACATGAATAGCACCTTAAATCGATTAAAACACGCAGCAAACATGAATACCACCTTAAATCAATTAAAACACACAGCAAACATGAATACCACCTTAAATCAATTAAAACACACAGTAAACATGAATACCACCTTAAATCAATTAAAACACACAGTAAACATGAATACCACCTTAAATCAATTAAAACACACAGTAAACATGAATACCACCTTAAATCAATTAAAACATGCAGCAAACATGAATACCACCTTAAATCAATTAAAACATGCAGCAAACATGACTAGCACCTTAAATCAGTTAAAACACACAACAAACATGAATACCACCTTAAATCAATTAAAACACACAGTAAACATGAATACCACCTTAAATCAATTAAAACACACAGTAAACATGAATACCACCTTTAATCAATTAAAACATGCAGCAAACATGACTAGCACCTTAAATCAGTTAAAACACACAACAAACATGAATACCACCTTAAATCAATTAAAACACACAGTAAACATGAATACCACCTTAAATCAAATAAAACAATTCCCCAAAATCAATTTAAATCAATTTCCCTGATACCCTATTCTTTGACTGCAGGCTGTTTCCCTGATACCCTGTTCTTTGTCTGCAGGCAAGCGGTGACAAGAAATCAGACTGAGAAAGATGAAGCTTGCTTCCAGCTTGTATCGCCATCATCACCGCTCTCTGAAGTTTCAGCTTCATCATCCTGCCCAGTTATCTGATGTCAGCTCACACGCTGTGCTGTGATTGGATGATCAGACTGTAGGAACATTTGTTCTGTCTGTTTACATCAAGATTTCCTTGTTTTCTCTGATTTTTATTTTATTTCTTTAGGTTTGTTTGTGGTGTTTATTTTGGATTATCTGTGTAACTCCAGGACAGGCAATCATCACCTGCATTCTGTCCTTTAAGGAGGAAAGTGACGCCAGCTTTTGTTTCCTGCAGGAAATGAACTTATTCCAAAATTAAAACCCTGCATGTTCAGCTTTAAGATGAACTGAAAAAACGGTCTAAAAATGTTGTTTCTTTGGATGGTTCTGTGACGACTGTTTGTTCTCTGGATCGCTAACGGGACCAAAATCGTCTCGGTTCGGACTTTGAATGTGATTTAAAGACGGGAATTTTGTTTCCGATGGTAAAATATAATAAAATTGTTGATGCTAAAGACCACATGTGTCGTGTTTGATTCTGAGAGTCCAATCTTTGGTTCTGGTTCTGGAATGCTCCTTCATATAACCTACAGAAGGCATCGGTTCCTCATGATAAATTATCAGTTTTTCTTCCACTGGTTTCTTTCTGATCCAGAACATTTTACTATAAGGTTTGATTTTTATTTTTTTCCAATTCTTTTCAAAACTTTCCCCCCAAACTTAAATAAACCAATTAATTCTATTCAGTTTATTTCTATAGCTCCAATTCACATCATGTCATCTCAGGTCACTTTCCAGTTCACCAGATCATCCAGTCAGATTGATTCAAAGTTTTCTATCTAAGGAAAACCAGCTGATTGCATCGACTCATTGACTCTTCAGCAATCCCTCACACTAAGCATGCTTGTAGCGACAGTGGAGAGGAAAAACTCCCTTTTAAAGTTAAAGACTACAGGAGGATAAAATACTTTGGAAGGTGCTAAAGACGAGTCTCCAGGTCTGCCCCAGTGTCTAACTCAGGGTTTGAATGGTCCAGTCTGCTGTCATCCTCTCATCCAAAGATACGTTACAATACGTTTTCACCAGGTTATGAAGCGAATCTTTGGATCATTGTTTGTTTACAGATCTTCCCACACTAGAATAAACCCAACATTCAGCATCTTGGATGAAGCAGAAAAGCTTCAGTTAGAATTTCTCCAGTTGGAAGCGAATCTCACCTGAAGTCTGCTTTTAGGTTTTGATAAAGTTGAAGTATGAAGTGTTTTTAGAATAAACATTTGGTTTTTGATTAAAGCTTTAATTTGCATTTAGAAGTATTTGCATTTTCAGTAAATAATCTTTATGGTGTGTTTAATTATGCAACTAAATGCTGTATTTAATCAAATAACTTTTAAACCGTTTTACCAGGATTTAAGTTTGAATCCTATTTTCTTTGTTCCGACATGCAGCCAGTTTGGATTCTTTTAACAGATGATTTGACAATTATCCAATAAAAAAAGTCACATCAGCATTTAATCGCACAGTAATTTCTGCTGCAGTGCATCGCGGCCCATCTTCCTCCTCCTCTTCCTCCGTGGAGCAGCTGTCGGTGTAGACGTCAGGCTGAAACCGGTTTGAGCTGCTCTGCTGAGCCTCTGCAGCAGCTCGGCTTTCACAACCAACCCGAAAGCCTCGCCTGTGAACCCGCTGACAGGACGACCACAGCCCAGGGGGGGGGAACTCTGAGCTCTGAAGCATTTCAGTCCACAGCTCCTCCAGGTTAACACTACGTACCTTTAACCACCAATTCTGTTAAGAACAGAGGAACCTTTGAAATGCATCGACCTCACATTCAATTCTATTCAGTTTATTTCTATAGCTCCAATTCACATCATGTCATCTCAGGTCACTTTCCAGTTCACCAGATCATCCAGTCAGATTGATTCAAAGTTTTCTATCTAAGGAAAACCAGCTGATTGCATCGACTCATTGACTCTTCAGCAATCCCTCACACTAAGCATGCTTGTAGCGACAGTGGAGAGGAAAAGGTTCAAGGAGACAGAAGCAGACATAGAAGAAGAAGCATAGATACAAAAGGCAACTGTCAACCAGCTCCACAGGCGGCCCCGTCCAGGAAACACACAGCCAGGCAGACGAGCTCCGAGCCAGCTCCCATGTCAGAGGACGAAGAGAGCACATCCAGTTAGTCACAGTCAGAGAAACAGGACTACACTGGAAAACAGGCCAAGCTCCAACATCTAGAAACAAAGGTGTTGATGGCAGCAGCACAGCTGATATTTCTCTCCAGGATGGAGTCACAGCCAAACAGGAACAGACCAGATGAAGCTACTATGAGAAAAAGCAGAGAGAGCAGAACGTTAGAGATTGAACTAACAGATTCTGCAGAGTGGGAGAATAGAGATAGAATGAAGCAGAATGATGAAAAAGGGGTCCCTATGTCCTCCAGCAGTCTAAGCCTATAGCAGCAGAACTATAGAGATAGCTCAGGATAACCTGAGCCACTCTAACTAGAAGCTTTATCAAAAAGGAAAGTTTTAAGCCTAGCCTTAAAAGTAGACAGGGTGTCTGCCTCACGGACTAAAACTGGTAGTTGGTTCCACAGGAGAGGAGCCTGAGAACTAAAAGATCTGCCTCCCATTCTACTTTTAGAAATTCTAGGAACCACTAGTAAACCTGCAGATTGGTGACATTTTTGGATAAATGTGCCAAAATGGCCTCTCTGCCTAAGAAATTTCTCACTAATACCATTCTAAAATAAATATGATTCATCTGATTGAGTCCAGATTTGGTATATTTTTACACAACATTTAGATTTAAAAGTCTGTACTACTTTTTTGTGCTATAAATAATATTTTGGTAGTGTTTTGCAATGTTTATTTCAAAGAAAATTTTGGCGAGGTTCAAAAAATGCAAAATATTTTGTATTTTGTCCCTAATATTTCAGGCAGGGTCAAAGCTACAATGGTGCTGACACCAGAAAACCATTCTATGACATCTTACCTTTACAGACGTACCAAAAGTTTCTTCTTACATCTAATGGCTGTGAGGCTATAAGTGATTTACTTTAGTGTGTTTTTGTCAGGCAGAAATTTATTTATACCCCCTGAGGGTGTAAGAGTTTAATGTGTCGTCAGTCGACTCTCAGCAGATAGAACAGCTTGGAGTCTTCTGGGAAAGCTGTCCACCTGGATTAGGAATATTTATTGGACTTTCTGACCGTTCAGAAGCGCATTTGTGAGATCACACACTGATGTTGGACCAGAAGGCCTGGGTCCCAGTCTGCGCTCTAATCCAGCATAAAGTAAAAAATTATCTAGTTATTAATTTCATTGATTTAATTAATTAATTAATAAAGTCGTAGGGAAAACTGATAGAGTTGAGTCTAAGTCTAAAGGTGAACCATCAGGTTGAGGTGAGGAACTCTGTGAAGGCCAGTCAGGTTCATCCACACCAGGTTCTGTCACCTATGTGTTCTGTGCTCTGGTCATGTTGGAAGAGGAGCAGTTCTGATTCAAACTGTTTCCATAAAGTTGGGATCATGGAATCGTCCAAAAGTTCCTTTCACTGGAGCTAAGGGGGAAACCCAGCTCCTGAAAACAGGCCCGCACCATAATCCCGCCTCCACCATCTTACACTCGGCACGATGCATTCAGAGCCGTCCTCTTGGCCAAACCCAGACTGGTCCATCAGATTTCCAGAGAACGCGCCGTCATCACACTGGACTCCATTTGAGTGTAATGGTGATCTCTACGGTCACTAGTTTGTCCGCTCTGCGCTGCTGTCGTGCAAAGATGTCTGCCTTCATGATACGAGACCCACACTTATGTAATTATATATTTCTAATGCCATAAAAACTTAGGCTTTCATTTGTTGCAGAGCAAAGGATTAGGGCCACTGGAAAATATAAAAAAGTAAATTATTTTTTATTTAAGTTTAATATTCTTTAATCTCAGAATTCTGGCATTTTTCTCAGAATTCAGCCTTTTTTCACTCAAACTTCTGACTTTAATCTCAGAATTTGGAGATTTTTTTTCAGATTTCTTACATTTTTTCTCAGAATTTACTATTTTTCCCCTCAGAATCCTGACTTTAATCTCAGAATTTGGACATTTTTTCTCAGAATTTACATTTTTTCCCTCCGAATCCTGACTTTAATCTCAGAATCCTGATTTAATCTCAGAATTTGGAGATTTTTTCTCAGATTTCTGACATTTTTTCTCAGAATTTACTTTTTTTCCCTCCGAATCCTGACTTTAATCTCAGAATCTTGACTTTAATCTCAGAATTTGGAGATTTTTTCTCAGATTTCAGACATTTTTTTTCTCAGAATTTACTTTTCCCCCCTCAGAATCCTGACTTTAATCTCAGAATTTAGAGATTTTTTCTCAGATTTCGGACATCTTTTCCCTCAGAATCCTAACTTTAATCTCAAAATTCAAAAAAAAAAATTTCTCAGAATCCCTTTTCTCAGAATTTTATAAAAATTTGGACATTGTTTTTCCTTCTGGCTTTAGTCTCAGAACTCTGAGATCGAATTCTTTTTTTTTTCCCATATTAAACTCAAATACTCAAGACTCAGTTAACTTTATTTTTTTCCAGTGGCCCTTATCCTCTTCCATATATAGATGAGAATAATATACTAATGTATAAGAAAACAACATTTCTGTTAGAAAATCACTATAATTAATACAAACTGTAGGTTTAACATCTGATCATTGGTCAGCTAGCTAAGCTATTTCAGTTAGATTAACGTATTTGAAGCTAACTTTTTTAGTTAGCCGTCCCCGGCGGTAATCTGCGTTTCCCCTCCAAACAGCAGCATTTTTTAGTCATTCCTCTCCAAAAACACACAAACACTCCAGTTGTTGTATCACATTAGTTTTATTGCCTCAGTTTTAATCAAACACTTTTTACAAGAAGACCCTCTGGTGGGGGGGTCAACATGGATGGCATCATCAGGGCTAACTTAATTAGTCTTATGTTAATGTTTGGCTGGTGACTCATTAATAGACAGTTTTGCTACATTACAGCTAAAGCTTAAGCTACTTAACCAATGATCTACGCAGCTATGACGACATGAAGCAGGACTCGGGCCGCCGCTCTTTCAGCATCACAGAGACAGTCTCCCTTTAAATATGTGTTACGCTGAATTTGCTAAATTCATACTGACTGCGGTTTACATTACAACCAGGAAGAAGTTATACCTCCAACTTCCTGATTGCTCTTCCTACTGAGGAATGGAAGCACGAGGAACAGGAAGACCTAATAACACATCTGAATATATACTTAGTATTTTCTTAAGATTATTCTGTTTAAAGCACATGAATGAAATGATCATAATTTTAGTTTTAATGTTTTGTCAATTTCGCAACAACAGCAGATGATCTTAAAGTCTGTGTTCAGACTTGAGAGATTTAAGTCTCCAAGATAATATTAAAATGTAATCGCGTTTATTTATCCTTACAGTTTTTTCTGTATTAAGACACAGAGCATTTTTGGCCTAAAATCATCAGCATTAGA